AGCAAATCACTGTAGACCTCAGTTTTCTCTTCTTGAAATGGGAAGACTATCCCTTTTCTCTTTCTCAGGGAGCACAAGGTCGGTTAGCCAGTGGGCTTTGAAAACCATCCGGCATGTTATAAACAGGGCTGGGGAGCAAATGGCTGGCCTGTGGGCCATATAGACCCGGCAAAATCATTTGGTCTGGCCCTGCCAAGGCTTTAGGAGTGAGTTCATTAAATGTTTTGACCAAATATAGCAGGCTAATTTTTTTTTAAATCTTTATTGTTGAAAGCAGGCTAATTTTTAAGTTAATAATTTTGTATGGCTGGAGAATGATATTATAAATATTTTTTTTAAAACCTTGGCAGAAAAAAAGTTTCCCCACCCCTATTACAGACACTTGCATGTGTAACTATGTAAATGTATATACGTGTGTGTGTGTGGCATTATTCTTTATTTTTCTTAATCAAACATTTATCTTCCTGAACTCTCTTGAAATATACATTCTAAATTCATTGTTAACCCACCCCATGTATATGTTATGGTCTTTTCTCACTCCAGCCCCAGTCTACCCATAACTTTAAGTGTATAATAGTTTTTATTCTTTTTTTAAAAAAGAGGAATCTTTTAAATAATGTCTCTAAGATTTAGCCTCACTTGCTCATTGATGCTAATTATTGCTTTGGCGCAGAGCTTGCAGGTCTGGATTAAAGGGAGTCCTGCCTCGGAATGCTCAGTGTCCTCATCCCTTCTCCCTACCCTCGCACGCCCCCCCCACACACACACACACACGTGCACATACATGCCCAAGCCCTTGACAGCTGTCTCCCTATAGCCACAGCCAGGCCTCTGACCTCGGATTTCTGCATGACAATACTTGATCCTCCTGGTTATGCTCCATAAGCGGTCATAATGTGGCCTCCTTTGGAGAACAGTGAGTGCATGACTGCACAAGGTCATTATCCTTGGAGCAGAGAAGAGGAGGCCTTAAGGCTGTCCTGATCAGCCTTTTCGATCCCTGGAGAGACAGGACTAAACAATTTGAATCTAAATATGAAATTGTGGAAATGGAAAAGTATCTGTCACCCCAGTAAACTATAAAAGTCTGTATTAGTCCCTGGAAGAGTCACTTGTGCTTGAGAACAGGTTAGAAGAATTGTGGAACAGGTTAAAAGAATTATTGAATCTCATTCACTCATTCAATCACACAACCAACCAACCAGATATTTATTGAGCACACATCATGAAACCACTGGTCCAGTACATGGTGCCCAGTACACAGAAACAATGAAAAAAAAAAAAAATCTGGGTCTCTTGCTTTTGTGAAAAATACAGGGTGTGGGAATAGCTTCAGGACACTTTATCCCTTCTTCTGCTGTCTTTGAAGGTGTGATAGTGAAGTTGCAGAAAACCAGCTTGACTTTATTTTTGCCCTTACATCAGGCAAAAATAGCTGTGACCCAGCTTCTGCTCTCTCCTTTCACTCCACTGAGACATTCTTTGAAATGTCTCTGGCCCATTTCTGTCGCTCTTTGAGAAGGCTGAGCTAGCGATGTTGAGGGAAATGTCTGGCAAGCCAGAGTGTGGCCCTGGCTCTATCCCTCTGTTCCAGGGCCCGGTTCTGGTTCTGATCAACTCCATTCTTCAGTACAAACATCCGACTTTATCTGTGAATACAGATTATCCTCCTGTGGGCTGATGCTCACTTACAGCCTCACGAGAGACTTGGTTAAATGAGAATGCCCACTTACTAATTTACCAGAGGCCCGGTGCATGGGATTCATGCACTGGTGAGGGGCATGACCTGCAGGGATAGGCCCACTGTGGGAATACTGCTCATCAGGGTCAGCCAAGTGGTGCTCCCACTGTGGGAGCGCACTGACTACCAGGGGGCAGCTCCTGCATGGATCGTCTGCCCCCCGGTGGTCAGTGTGCATCATAGCAACTGAGTGAGAGGTCGTTCTGGTTGTTCAGCCATTCGGCCTCTGGGCTTTTATTATCTATATATATAAAAGCCTAAGTGACCATCGCAATGGAACAGACAACCGAAGAGGCTGTGTGGGGCGACTAGGCCCACAGGGGCATTAGTGAGGGGCGACCAAACAACTGAGCAACCAGGCCCGCAGGAGGGGCAGTGAGGGGAGACCAGGCTGGCGGGGGGGAAAAGGGGAGGCAGTTGTAAATGGCCAGGCTGGGGGGGGGGGGCAGTAAGGGGTGACCAGGCCAGTGGAGGGTGCTCAGTTGTGGACAACTAGGCTGGCAGGTGGGGGCAGTAAGGAGTGATCAAGCCAGTGGGCAGTTGGGATCGACTAGGCCAGCAGGGTGGGCAATTGGGGGTGAACAGGCCAGCAGGGGGGGAAGTTTGGGATGGTCAAGCAGGTAGGTAGGTGAGCAGTTAGGAGCCAGTGGTCCCAGCTTGTGAGAGGGATCCCAGATTGGATAGGGTGAAGGCTGGGCTTAGGGCCCCCCACCCCTCCTGCACAAATTTCGTGCACTGGGGCCTCTATTATAGGATAATTGGGGTGGACTCTTTGAGAGGCAGAAATACTTGCATATCCTTCCAAAACTGGTTTGGCTCAATGGATAGAGTGTAGGCTTGGGAACTGAAAGGTCCCGGGTTCGATTCCGGTCAAGGGCATGTACCTTGGTTGCGGGCATATCGCCAGTAGGAGGTGTGCAAGAGGCACCCGATTGATGACTCTCTCTCATTGATGTTTCTAACTCTCTCAGCCGATCAATGACTCTCTCTCATTGATGTTTCTAACTATCTTTCTCCTCTCTCTCCCTTCCTCTCTGCACAAAATCAATAAAATATATTAAAAAAAAGAAAAGAAAAGAAAAGAAATACTTACATATCCTAACCACGACCTCCCCTTGCAGACACCCAGGTAACTGGAGCTCACACTGGTCTTCTAGAGGCTGCTTCATGAGAATGGAATCAGAAGCAATAGAAGGTTGAGAGTCTTAGGGCTATTTTAGGCAGGCACCTATTGTCAGTGAATTGTGTATTCTTTTCCATTATCCTTACTCTTTACTTCATCTGTGAGTTTCTTTGCTAATAATGGTTTGCCCACAGATGATACTAAATCAATGCTGAGTGATTCCATTATTTGAGATAGACCCTAGATATCTGTACTCTGTATGTTCCCATGTAAACACACTCTAGATATGTCAGAAAGTACAGCAATTCTGTGATAAGTGTGGTCAGTATTGAGGAGTTGGTGGAGAGGGCACATGACCTAAACATTATGAGGCATGAGGCTTGCTTTGGCCCTGCCCCTTAATGCTATAGCCACTTGCCTCCTCTGTAGGTGAGGGAGCATAGACTTGGAAGCAATAAGGGCCTCTCCAGTCTTAAGGCTTTGATGATCTAGGTCTGCTGGAGCTAGAGGAAGACATGTTCGTTTCTGAGGGTGCATTGAAGTGGAAGGCAATTTTGTACCATTACTGTTTTGTTTAATGTTTTCCTTTCTGCACCTACTATGTCTCAGGCCCTTGGGAATCCCCAGTGAGCAGAAACATGCCTATTGCATGTAGACTTGAAAAGGACATAGGAGGCCATCCACATCCCAACTGCAATGACCAGCATTCTCCACTCAGTTGCCATCACAACCATATGTTTATATTGGTGCCTGTTTATACATATGTTGGGTGCATGTGGCAGTGGGACCCTTCTTTTCGGGCAATCTGTATCCTTTGACAGTGGTCAAAATAGGACACGTGGATATCCATTTGGCTTCCTCTGTTTTTTTTATTCAGAGCTTTTGGAAAAGCTTATCCATCACTTTCTGCTATAGGCACTAAGCCAATTTTACTTCCCCAAACTCCATGAGGGTTTGAATGAGTGTTGATAAATTGGGACACTTACACTTTTTGGTAAAGAATACGACATTGACAAATGTTTATGTCAATTTAGAAGCTATGGATATTGATGTGGAATTTTAAATAATACTTAACTGTTTATATGACTTTTCTCACTCTCATTGCTGAAATGCCTCCATCCCTACCCCTCAACAGCATTTACTTCTGGAGCTATCTGCTCCATCCCAAAGCATTGAGTTGTTCAATAAGCCAGGAGGAGGGTCGGGGGTGGAGTGGTGAATTTTGTGCACAGTGACACATGTGTAATCCCTTCATAGTGTGAGTATTTAGTTCCATTTCTTACTGGAAGGCATAAAACTAATTGCTTATGTGCATGCTTAAACCCCAAGAATGTCCTGGCAGAAAGTGACTGCCTGGGGATATTGGTATCCACATCCCACAGTGGAGCGAATAGGATAAGTGGTTCCAGCTAATGGAGAAGCACAGCCTTCCTTGAAAAACAATCTCTTCAGTGTCTGATTTTTTAATATGTTCATTTTCAGTAGAACAAGTCTCAAATAGCTCTTTAACCACAGTTCTTCAACATATGTGTTATTGAAAGTTCATGTTATTTCTTTAACTATGGGAAAGAATAGAACATAGGGTTTTTATTGGTGATTGTGCGTGTTATGTGCCCTGTCTTTAACCATAATTTTCTAAGCAGAAAAAGAGCCTTATGGTTTCTTGACTTGAAAGTAGGCTACAAATAAGCTTAGCTCTATAACTCCTCAAATGCATAACGTCTGGATTTGTTCACTACTTTTTAAAAATTGTTGACACTATTACAGATGTCTCCGTTCCCCTGCCCCCTTTGCCCACCTTCATCCGGATCCCAACCTCCCATCCCTCTGGCCCTCACCACTTGTCTGTGTCCATGGGCTATGCATATATGCTCTTTGGCTATTTTCTTCACCTGGTTTCATTCTATCTGTTCTGCCCACCTCCTCTCTGATAACTGTCAGTCTGTTCTATAAATCCATGTCTCTGGTTCTATTTTGTTCATTAGCTTATTTTGTTCATAATATCCCACATATAAGTGAGATCATATGGTATTTGTCTTTCTCTGACTTTTATTTTCATTAACATAATAATCTCTAGATCCATCCATGCTGTCAAAAGGGTAACAGTTCCTTCTTTTTTATAGCTGTATGGTATTCCATTGGGTAAATGTACCACAGCTTTTTTTACCCACTCATGTATTGATGGGCACTCTGGCTGTTTCCAGATCTTGGCTATTGTAAACAATGCCACTATGAACATAGGCGTGCATATTTTCCTTCTCATTGGTGTTTTCTGATTGGTGATTAGTGTTCATTACTTTTTGAATAGTACATTTTATCCTAAACATGGGAAATATGATGGTGTTGAATAGTTGGTTTTATTTTAAAGGACATTTAGTGTTGGGACTCTTTTTTAGAATTAGAAAAAAGAGTTTTGCACCAAGATCTATTTCTCCTTATTAAGGAAGGAAATATATATTTTAAGATAGTAAGAACATAACTGCAGTTAACCTGAGGCATTTTCCAAGAGTGGAGATGCCTGTTGAAACTCCGAATCAAATAATTCTGCTAGTCATTACTCAGTTAGGGGTTGGGAATAATCAGTAGAGACAATGAATATTTCAACATGGACTGATAGGAAATAATAGTAGAGAGGAAAGAATGTATTATGCTTTTCATGGTTTGGGGGATAATAATATCTCTGTCTGTTTGTGTTAGTGTATAAGCTAGATCCTCATGGTTCCTTATCAATAAAGCAGAGCTATGTGTGTGGGTGCATTGTCAGGGCATTCAAGTATTAATTTACCCTCCTCTTTAAAGAAATCCTAAAAATAGGATAGAATTCAGTTATGAGTATTTTGAGTGTATATAAGTATTTACTTCATTATTTCTTAAATATTGTGCTTTAGTAGGACTCTCTCTCTCTCCATATATATATATATATATTACATGTATTTATACATATATATACATACATATATAGATATGCAGATAGATAGATAATCCCAAGGATTGATGGATATATATATATATATATATATATATATATATATATATATATATATATTTGAGGGAGCGAGAGAAACATCAGTGTGAGAGAGAATCAAACCCACAACTTTTTGGTGTATGGGACTATGCTCCAACCAACTGAGCCACTCAACCAGGGCAAGTTACATTTTAAAGCTTGACGTTCATATGTATTTTAGAGAATTTATCTAAAAAAGATGCAACATATTTGGAAACAAATAAGAATATTTTAAAGGTAAAAAATTGTACATAGCTATTTTTATAAAACCAATGTAACACTAGGAGAGAAATGAAAGGTCTTTTAACTAAATCACCAATATCTCAGAATTTATTTTTAAATGAACAGCTTTTTAGCACCCAGTGCCTAGAAAACCAGAACTCCAGAAACCTGCACTTCAGCAAAAGTTGGGCTGAGGAAAGCTTACTGGGAGTGGTGCATTTTAAACAAAGTATAAATTTCTTGTAGGTGTGGAATTTAATTCAGTGTATCCTTGACATACAATAGCATTAGGTCTGGCATATAGTCTATAAAATAAGTATTCATATCAGAATAAATAAGTGAATTTTCAGAAGGAAAGGAAGGGAGGGAAGAAAGAATGAAAAGGGGCCTGGAAAATGGAAGCACTTCACAGGCAGCTCGTTTTAAATGCTTTTCACATGCTTCTTGTCGTCACTGTAGGCACCCACGTCTCTCAAGCTTTGCTGGGACTGTGGTAGCTATAGAAGGGCACAGGGTTCTTGCAGGAGTGGCTGCACACCTGTCCCAGGCACAGTGATCCAGCCTGAATGTGGGATGTTGTGTGCAGACACCTATATTATCCCCATGGCTCTCCCTGAGTCAGGGAATGAGTTTTATTCTGACTACAAGTGCAGACAGCAGAAGGGACGATAGCTGAGTACAGTTATCTGGGACTAAATGTACTTGTCCCTGTTGTGATATAGATGAGATGGCCGGGAAGGGTGAAGGGTTATGTCCATTGAACCAGCGTGCCCTGTCTCCCTTCCCGGCGCTACCAGCTTCAGTTAGTAGATACCTCACGCTGGAAAATCTTGCGGACAACCTTAGGTAAATCTAGTGAAATTATTTTAAAAGACCTTCCATGAACGAGTGAGGTTTTCGTTGTTTATTACTCCTTTCACAATGCCGAAAGCAGGTGGAGCTGTTTTCCCAGCTATGCAGAGTAACACACACTTGAAAAAATACTTGAAGAAACTTTGAATTATCCAAGGAGTACATTTTTAAAGAAAAATTTACATTTCTGGAGCATCTGTTATATGCCACATACTTTTATCGGAAGATGCTATAGCATGGGGTGGGGTGAATTTATTTATTTATTAAACTGTGATGTAATTCACATAACATAAAATTCACCTTTTAAAGGTGTACAATTTCTCAGATTTTAGTATATTCAGAAGGGTGTACAACCAACAGCACTATCTAATTCTGGAACATTTTCATTTGTCCCCCAAAAGATACTCCGTTATCAGTCATCCCCAATTCTCCCTCCCCTCATTCCTAGGTAATCACTAATCTACTTTCTATTTCTATGAACTTATGACCCTGCCTATTCTAGATATTTTGTATGAATTGAATCATACAATATATGACCTTTTGTGTCCAGCTTCTTTTACTTAGCATGATGTTCTTAAGGTTCACCCATGTGGTAGCATGTATCTGTGCTTCATTCCTGTTTCTGGGTGACTAATATGCCATTGTGTGGATATACCACATCGGTCTATCCATTCATCAATTTAACATTTGGACTACTTTCACTTTTTGACTAAAGTGAATAATGCTGATATGAACATTTATGTCTATATTTTTTGGATGGAGGTATGTTTTTATTTCTCTTGGGTATACCTAGGAGTGGAATCAACGGGTCATATGATAATGTTATGTTTAACTTTTTGAGGATCAGCCAGAAAGCTTTCCATAAAGCGATAGCTCATCATGCTTTTGATTTGCATTTCTCTAGTGACCAATGATACTGAACATCTCTGCCTGTGCTAATTGATCATTTGCGTATCTTCTTTAGAGAAACGTCTAGGAATAATTTTGTTTGGTATTTATTATGCATTTCTGAATTAATCAGGAGACAAGAAATGAAGGCAGTTTAATTCAAACAATTCTCCAAACAATGAAATAATTTCTACTAAAAAGGGGGAGATTTTGTGTGTGGGTGGATGTTGGATGACATCTGGGTCACAAAGGAGGAAGTGTGGGCTTGGAGGCAGGAACAGATAGAGTGAACCTGTGTGGCATTGACTTCACTGTACAGAGTTTAAAATGGCATGAGCACGTGGTAGAAAATGGGAGTGGAGGATGCTTGAGAAAATCTTACTCACAAATGTAACATAGCATTAGTAAATATTGCTTCAAATTTTAATTTCAATCTTAAAAGCTCCGGAAAAGTGAAAGCATGTAATAGTCAGGATCATCTGTATCTTTTTATTGCCACACAATGTGCTTTATTAGAACCATATTTCTGGCTGAAGCAGTGGAAATTTGTGTCACTGACAACTGTCAACACCTTTATTTTCTGTGTTTTTAATTCTTAACAGGCCCGTGCATTGGTTTATTGTGAATTCTTATCAATCATAGAAACTTCTATGTTTTCCATAAAACAGTGCCCCAGTGCTGCAGGGCACAGGATTGATTTCATGTTTTAAATTTAAATGAAGTAGAAGATTTGGTAATTTCCTCCTCCATTCACAGACCTGGGTCAGGCAGAGACTGTGATTTTTTTTTTTTCTCTGATAAGAAGACAATATTATCAGTGGGATTAGCCCAAAGGAACATAAGAATTCATTTAAAAGGAAGACTCAACTGGTTAGACAGACTGAAATAGGCATGTGCAACTTTGGAGAGGAAAATGAAAGTCTGAATAAAGAAATGTTTAAAGGGGAAGGAGTTCTTGTTTTTTTCTTTGTTTTTTAATGGGGAATAAAATCTATACTTGGGGGGAAAGTTCTGTTGCTTTGAAAATAAAATAAAAGTTAAATATATGTAGAAATCAGAAAGCAAGAAAAAAGTTGAAAAACAACAATTTCTATTAAAAAGAACTCTCTGCTAGCATTCACAGAGTTGAGCCTTTTTGCCTCAAATGTTATTGTTGTTGTTGTTGTTGTTTTAAGAATCATTTAAGTTAGAGCAACACAAATATTTTCAAAAGCAAGAAAATATTTGTACGGTTGTTTCTACCTATCTACATAGCACACATCCCAGGGAATGACGCCTGCTTAATTTGGGGGCTTTGGGAACCATGTAAGGCGGTCAAGACTAACAAATGTTTGCTTCAGTTGGGCATGTATTTATAGCCTCACAATCTCTTCCTTTTACAAAGGGCTTCCTCGTTGTCTCCTGTTAGTGAACCCTCGTCACTGGTCAGGGAAGTAGCAATGCTAGAAGAAATCTCTGTCTGTCGACTTCCATAAATCAGGAATCTCTATCCAAAGCAGAGACTGTGTTTGGCCAGCCCTTTAACCTTCACACTGGCTGTTGAATGAATGAATGCATGCATGAAGAAAAGTAGTCATTCTAGTTTTACTATCTTAATGAAGTTGAAGTTCAACAAAAAAAGGTTGTGAATGTTTCACAGGTCTATAAACCTTCAACTCTAAACTTTCCTGCCCCTAAAAACTCAATACTTATAAGGACTATCATAGAAATGCAACCACATGCATTCTTTTTTAAATTTTATTTTTCAGTTATAGTTTACATTCAATAATTTTTTTGTATAAGTTTTTGGTGCACAGCATAGTGGTTAACAATCATATACTTTACAAAGTGTTCCTTGTCCAATTGCCATTATGTTCTCTTCCTTTTCAGAAACTGACATCACAATCTCTGCTTCTCTCTCTCATTCTGACTCTGATAGATAGATAGATAGATAGATAGATAGATAGATAGATAGAAGACAGACAGACATCTAGATGATAAATAGACATAACACACATGTGTATAAATAATGGCTTTGGGTATATATCACTTTACTCTTTAACCAAAGCAGCTTCCCCAAGTTCTGATAATATAATAGTTCTGATTTCTTGGGATATGAAAGGCCTATCCAGGTCTCATAACATATGGATAGGATCCCTCCTGACACATCAGTTGTTTGCATACAGACATGGTTATCACCATATATTCTGTACCTCTTCACTTTCCTCTTTATTTCTCTATGGAGAGAACAGTCATCCCCAGCAGCAGCTGTGCGACCACATACTGACTGCTGACAGTTTTGCTTTCCTCTGAATATCACCACATGCGCTCCATATCTTAGCTTGTCCAAAAGGCTCAGCTTGGCTCAGCATGGGTGAGATACCCACCCTGGACCAGTCAACCGAAACCTGGATCATACTGCACATGGCAGCTCCCATGAGGATGGTGGTTATGGGATGCCATGGGTGTCTACTGCATCCCAGCAAATGAGCCAGCATCTTATTTGTAACTAAGAAGTTGGCTTTGTTGTCACAGAAGGAGTTTGTTTTTGAATCGGGATAAGGTACCTTCTTCTGTTCTGACTTTTCAGCTGGAATTTGAGCATAGCCTTTGAGATCTATGTGGCAGATTTTTGCCCATAATTTCTGAGATTGATAGTGACCTGAAAGAGAGAGTTTGAATGAAATGAAAAATAAAAGCAAGACATACAGTTCAAACCTTCAGTCCTAAGCTTTTAGGCCAAGTGGGAGAATTTAGGTAGATTAGAGGTTGGAACTAGAGTGCCAAATCAGAGCAAAAAAATATCCAGGAAGGAAGGTAGGGACAGAATCAGCTGGAAGTATATGGCTTAGCCACAAGAAATCCTTCTAGGGTTCCTTTAAACCTTGGGGGAAGGAGCCATGAAAGGCAATGAGCTGATTCCTTCATCCCAATAATAATGATAATAAGAACAGCTAACATTATCAAACACTTAACTGTGTGCCAAAATGTATGCTAGCTGCCTTTAACAATGAGCTCATCTGACAGACCGTATTTTATAGTTAAGTTTAAAACGTGGATTCTACAGTACATTCCTGTGTAAAGAAATCAAGAAGTGTGTTTCCTTCTTATGCATTTCTTTCAGCCCATAACCTTCAGGGAATATTTTGATGAACCCTTAATTTTCTGACATGCTATGATTTTGGATTAGATTTTTAATGTGATGGTGATAGAGCCTTTACAGCTTGTCCTCCTCAGTTGCTTGAGAACATTCTGGTGAGCTGTGAGGCCTGTACTTGTACGGAATTGTCATTTTTCTGGCAATTTGCTAATATAATCATCAGGAAATCATTGTTTCTTGGTTTTTTTGTTTTAAAAAAAAAGCCCTTAAAATGTGCTGTTTACCTCATTTCTATCATTTTTCTCTTAGAACTTTTAGTTCTAATTTAGCTATTATTTCAATGTTACTGTTTGTGTCTATGACAACGTATTCCAGCATATCATTTTGGTCAGCTTTAAAAATGTTTAATTTTTTCCTTAGGATTTAGGATTGTCCGGTGAGCCCATGGGACTGCTTTGTTCTGAATTTCAGTGGCCAGTGAGGGAGGAAAGAAGCACCCTCTTTTTAAATGTATTTTGCCATGGGTGTATATTTTCGCCCTGTAACTCAAAATATTGTATGTGTCTTAGGCTCATCACAAGCTTCATTCAAGTCTTACATGTAAATATATTTTGTCTGGTGGGCTTTCCGTTAACATTCCTGAGTTTTTGTTCTAGCATCCTAATGTGCCGCCTTTTACATTAGAACAAAAGCCCCCAAATGTCGGTTCATCAGCTGACAATACCAGTTTTGTCTCTTAATTAGAAAAGAGAATAAAGCTGTTTAGGGTGTCAATAAAATGACAGATGCATCATTAGCAGACGGCTATGGTGGATCAGTTCTGGGCAAATACTTGGAATGGAATTAATAGGAATTTCTGCTAGCATATTTAACTTGCAAGCCCGTGTGGAGAAAGCAGTATTTTAATGCAGTGAACTAGTCAAAGAAAACGGGCGTGAACGACCATTGAAGACTAAGTGAAGAGTGTAAGAGAAATCAAGTTGCAATAGAAACTATATTCGGAGAATTTTATATATTATTAATATATTGCAAATGAGCCATTATGGATATTATGTGATTAATTCATTTAATAAATATTTATTGAGGGTCTACTACCTGCCAGGTGGTAAATTTAATGAGAGAGTTCAAGCTCTGAGTCCAAGCCCAATGTGACTGTCCCTTATAATTAGAAGGACTCAATTTCAGACCTATCATAAATCTCGGAAGAGGTTCTCTGAAGGTTTTGCATTGGGTGGCTTCACACTGTGTAAAACCCAAGTCACTCAGTGTGATTCAGAGGAGAGTTCCACTTACTGCCTGTTTTCTGAGTTGCTAAGCAGGGTTGCTTAGCCAGTGTAGGCAGCTACACGTGGGTGCGTCCCACACAAGATATTAGGTCGTGTAACTCAGTGATCAGGAAGCACTTCACCTATGGCCTGAGCACTGCTTGTTCAGCTATTATATTCCCGATGCTTAAAATAGTGTCGCCACGGAATAGGTACAGATAAATATTAATGAAGGGCTGAGGAAAGAATGCATATAAAACTAAAGCCAAAGTAAGCTCATTGGATACATTTTAAGAAAGAGAGGAATTCTTATGCTAGAAGCCCTTCATTTTCCTTGAGGTCTATTCATTTGCTTATTCATTCTGTCAATACCTTACTGTGGCAATATCGTCAGGGTCAGAAATGAAACGTACAGTCCTGCCCTCAGGGAGCTACCCGTGTAGCTTTTATGTGCGGAGAGATTCTGGTCATATGAGAGGTCTCCCTCTGATGTATCAGCACCATGTAGAAGAGCACAAAATGTCACAGACGTCTAAGGCTTGGCCTTGGAGCTGTGTTAAAAAAGTCATTTTTAAGTTTATTTTTGTGGGGGGTTTTTTTTTGGGGGGGGGGTTTCAGCAGGAAAAATGTGTCTGCCCTCTATTTGAACACAGATATGTAATATTTTGGGTTTCTCTCAGGAGCTGCCATGTTCTTACTTCTTTCTGTCAGACTCTCCATGTCAACCACCTTTATTCAAACAGTATCATAACTAGTGTATTTAACATCCAGAGGGGATTTAAAAAAATATTTTTATGGATTTCAGAGAGGAAAGATAAAAACACAATGATGAAAGAGAATCATTGATTGGCCGCCTTCTAGTGGGGATTGAGCCCACAACCCTGGCATGTGCCCTTGACTGGAATCCAACCTGGACCCTTCAGTCCAAAGGTTGACACTCTATCCACTGAGCCAAATCAGTAGGGCCCCAGAGGGAATTTTAAATACTCCTTTATCTCTATGACAATGTCATTTAATGATAAATTATGTAACAATCTAATAAGTATTTTCTTAACATTTTCATTGTTTACAATAAATTTCAACTTAATAGATCCTTTTCAAAATCAGAAAATACTTCATGTCTGAACTGAAATTTGTACTTATCAAATGAAAATACTATACCTTGCAGTTTGCATTGATTCATTGTTTAACCTGCAAAGCACAAATAAAAAACCCCAAGGTGTTACATCGAATGAATTGTGACACAGACTCTCTTTCTTCACCATACAAGCACTGGGCTATCATATTTATTTAGAATTTATTATTTAAGCAAAGGACTATGTAGAATGCCTTGGTTAGGAGTTACATTCAAAGTTAATGTACTCCCTTCGAACATTTTAGAACTTACTCTTGAAAGAGCTGGGTGTAACTGAGTCTGGGTGTGTCAGAAGGGAGAGCTGGTTAACTGGTGGTTCTCCTAATTTTATTTTCTTGCAGAATACCATGTTCATGAAGGAAATGTAACAAAAATTAGCTAATCCTCGTTAGATCAACAAAAATTTGTTGAGGATGAGTATTTGATCATGAGCATTGTTTAGAATTGTCGGCTCATGGTACTAAGAAAGAGCAGACCAACTTCCAGTAGGTTTGTCATTATCTTTCAATTCTCTGCAGAGAGTGCAACCTTAGTGCCTGTGCCCAGGATCAGCCCCTTCCCTTTCCTCTCACCATCCTGCCCTTGTGCTGCCACTGCACTTGCCCATCTGCCTCCACATGTGAATATAAAAGCAGGGTTTTCTCAGACAGACCTTACGAGTGTTCTGTGGTCCTTACCCAGACCCCATCTGGACCCTGATCTCAGTCCCTCTGACCTACATGCTCCCAGAGTATAGGTCTCAGTTATTTCTCTATCCTGGTTCAACTCCATGACTTAATTGACATCCTAGGCTTTGTAACTTGTTGGCCTAAACCTGCCATGCTTACCTGCCCATCCTTGCCTTCATTGACACTGGTCTTCCTATCTTATGTCAGCTCTCCACCCCTTTGCCTTCGTCCACATTCTGACCCTGGCCCAGCGTCATCATGACACAGTCTATTTCCTTGGCTTTGGTGGTCTGCAATTAAGGAGTTGCCATTGTTAAGTCAAGGTATGTTTGTGTAGATTTCTCTCAGTAGGTCTACGGGTAGAGGGGAGATGCTGCGTTGCCTTAATCAGCTGAGAGCCCTGGGACCTGCCAGCTGAGGCAAAGGACAATGAGAGCAGCTGCTTGCATGCCCAGCTCCCCTGTACTGACTCACTGAAGCCACCCAGCAGGGGGCTCTAGGGGTTCTCCCAGGATTTTCCAACCTTTCCTCTCTCTTGCCTGTTTTTCTCAGTGGGGCCATAGGGATTTAAAATCTTGTCCTTAATCAGAAACCTTCAATGACTTACTGCCTTTCCCCTTCCAGTCTGGTCTAGATCTTTTTAGCTGGTTTTCAGACATCAGACTGTCTTCCCCACCCTGTGTTCTCTATCCACCCACAACCAGTCCTACCCCATGCTCGGTTTGTGCTGATTCCTTCTCTTCAGTCTCCTACCCCATCTGCTGAAATTCTGCTTACTCTCCAAGGTGCCATTGTCCTGTGATGCCTCCTCCACCCTCCTCCTTACCCCAAGAGGGTCCCTGCTGTCTTCTCTCCCACTGCCAATAGACTCCTCCTCATAGCAACTGCTATGCTGTACAATAATATGGTTTTATTACTTCCCCTATCGGCTGCAGACCTCTCAGAGGAAAGACACTGGACATATGTGTGTTTTGTTCATTACACATATGTCCAGTGTCTGGCACTATTGTTGGCAATGTGCTATAGATACTTTCTAAAAAGTTGGTTAAAGAATGAAAGTCAGTGCAGGAACAAACCCTATAGTGACTTTTGGGAACGACTGCTCTTATATATTTACTTAGTGATATGATTTGTCCTAAAGTTTGAAGATAAAGTAGCCTAAGCAGCCAAGTTTAAAGGAATCAAAAAGAATACAGATAAGCATCCTATGAAACTCAGTCGATTGAAACTGTTATTGTGCAGAATATTATTTATTAGTTATTCATGGTTAAGACCTCCAGCTATAAAAAACAAACCAACCATAAAAAAACCTTTAAGTTATGATCATTGTGTAATGAAATTAAATCAGGGAAACTTGTGATAAAATTTACAAATATTGCTTTCCTGAACATATTGTATAATTGCCTAGTTGTATATAGATATACATGTAGTTGAATACTTGTAGACAGCTGAATATATAGTTGAATAGTTGTGTATAGTTATATATTAAGTTGTACAAAGCTGACTCATAAAGAATATTTCAATTCTCTCTGATTCAAAATAAGGTATTTGTTTCATCTTTCATCATTAGAATCTCAGATGCACCTGGAATTGATAGGGAGTCTGCTCAGAGTTAGGTCTGCCACATAAGGTTGTAAACATCAGTTTGCTTAGTTTCTGTAAAGATGAAAATGCCCATTTTATTTTATCTTTGCCTCTTCAAGCAATAACCACAGGTGAGGAAAGTAAGCTGGAACATGAATGCCATCACTTATTGCCATCAAATTTTAAAGTTATAATTATTTACTCATTCACACATTCATTCTTTCAGCGAACATGTATCAAACACTTGCCATATGCCAGAGAAGCCAGGTCCAACAAGGTCAAGGGTGTATAGTGTGACAGACAAGGAAATCTCCTGAATAGCCGTACAGGGTTGCCCATGCTGATGGCAGAGGTGGGCAATCTCAGCTTTGGCAACTGAGGGCTCTTTTGCAAATGGAAATAGCAAAGCACACAAGAGAAAAGTGAAAATGAATGTAAAATATCTGTCTCTGTGCGTATCCAAGCTCTAGTCAGCAGTCGACTGTTCAATCCAGCAAAAATTCCTTTGCTTTTAATTAATTCCTTTGTGCTGATTCTCCCTAGTAAGCCTCAATCTTAACAAATTAATTAGGTTGAAGATTAAAAATCCCATTAGTGTCGATCATTCACTTCTTGGCTCTGGCAACAAGATAGTGAAACTTTTCTTAGTTCCGGAGGGGCAGAGGAGGGGAGGACTAAATGGAGCTCACGTAAGCTGCCTGGTGTTCTTGGGATCAGATATTTTTTGCTGTTTTTAAGACTTTAGGTGGATATCAGCTACCATTATCTTTTTAAAGCATATTTGTGTACTTTCCCCAAACATTACTCATCTTAAATTCTTTAGACCTGTGCTGTTTGTTTTCTGTGTGGTCCATGGCCTTGGTGTGTTTGTGAGAGACTGCCCCGTCTACTCTGATTATCTAATTTGCAGGTTTGCAGGGCATTGATTTTTAATCAAGGACCTGTTTCCACTGTCACCTCATCTGCCCATTTATTATGGTTAAAGACACATCGGTGGCTAATATCTCAGCCAGAGCAGGAAAGAACAAACCATTAGTAGAATTGTGAATTACCTGCAGGTCATAATTCTGTTCAAAACACTGGCTTGTTTGAGTTATGCTTTCTGCTTTGGCTTCCACACCTGACTTACAATGGCAAGAATTGCAGAAATTCAAACAGGTGTTGTTAACACTCACTCCTAGGAAGTGACTCTAGTGCTAATAGTAGGCAGATGGGGACCAAGACTGGAGCAAGGGAGCACAGGATGTGCGCTACATTCTGGCCATAGAGCACTGCTCAGTCACATATTATCTCATTATTCAGTGGGAAGTTATCAATGGGAAGGAACCCAGAGAGGATGGAAGAGGCAGACGGCCGTCTGAAAGCAAATTCAGACAAGGATACACAGCAAGGGCATTTCACTTCCTGTACAGAGTTGAAGGCCAGGAGGAATTTGGTCAAGAGTTGGGATTAGAAAAATTGAATAAACATTATGCAGAACAGTGTTTTCCAAGCTGATTTATCTAAAAACAAGAGAGGAAATACCAGAATAGAGCACAGTCCCATGAAACTTGTTTGGGACATCAGGGCCCACGAAAGATGGAGACACTCCCAAGAGACTAGAGCAAATGGGAGGTCAAGGTAGGTAGCTTAAGCTGTGTGTGTGTGTGTGTGTGTGTGTGTGTGTGTGTGTGTGTTTAGGGCAGGAAAGGGCTATCCTGTGCTGTGCTGCATAGAATACTATGACCATAGTGGACCATCAGAAGTATTGGGTTCACAGAGAAACACCTGGTATCTTTAACTATTGTATGTAAATCCATACCATTGGCGTTATTATTAATATTATTATTATTAATGTGCTTATCTTGAATCATTGTGGCTAAGAGGGACTACTACAAGCTGACACATAAAATGCAAAACATATCAAAACAAAACAAACTAAGAATTTTACTTGTAAATGGTCTTTTGCTATAATATTATTGAAAGCTAGGCCTTAGGGCAAGTTCTGCAAAAATGGTGTCCTGTCAAGAACCTATTCATAGATATGGGTTGCTTCCACCTAGAGAACAGAAATAAGTACCTGCTCCTGGCAGAAGAAAGGAGGAATTTCTTCAGACGAAATGTGTTGCTCGCTGAGCTTCAAGTTTATCATTGATCTAACAAAGGCGAGAAACTAATTTCTGTGGACAATTTTAATCTAAAAATCTATGATCCTTGACTCTGCACAAGTGTTGTTTCTGTAGAACTGATCATGGCCTTTCTCTTTTCTTATTTCTTTGCTGACAAGAAACTGTTCAGGTCTGTCACCTATGAACCTATCCCAAAACCAGGCCCTGCTATTGTGAAAATCCTGCTCAAGCCTGTTGGGCAAAATATTCTGTCTGTTTCTCAGAGCCTATGTGTTAAAGAAGTATTTGGCACTGCCTCTTATCTCCTCACACACTCCCTACTCTGGTCAACCTCTCCTGCCTATGAGAACCTGCTTGAAAATGCTCCAGAAGTACCTTCTCTGTTCAGAAGCACTGGCTTCTACTCACACTTCAAGTCACAACTCAAGACAGGGAGGAAAGAGGTCTTAGAGTGACAACTGCCAAGGGACCAACAGCACAGTCCTCACACACTCAGTTAATGCCTCCCAATAGGAGTCACCACCACTTTAATTTAAGACAATTCCTTTACTGGGAACTTTTTGAACTTTTAAAGAAGCCAGCATATTTTTCTCCACCATTCCAGGTATCCTGTTCTGGATGGCTTCACACAAGATGTAGTTTGTCTAGGCTCCTACATTTGAGTTGGTGGAGGGTAGGGACAACACCTCATGGGATGTCACTAGAGACACCGAGTCTGTCTTTCTTGTGCACAGCTTCTGAAATGGATGTTGTAATTTTGCCATTGGACCTCTTTTGCTTTTTTCATTCTCTCCTTTAGTCTTGAACGTGACTACTCTGTTCATCTTTGACCCTCATGAAACCCAACTGGCCAGAATGACTATTTTTAAGCAATGTTAAGCACCTGTTCTTACATATCACTTGAAATCCAGTAATCCAAGAAACCCTAGTAAAAACAAACTAGTTGATGATGATCCTAGCTTTTGCATACATTTAGTCTTTAGCTACAACATGTATCTTATATTCTTTCAATAAGAAGTCAGCTTATCTGTGCTAATAAATATAAACTTCAAGTCTGCGTTCCTTCAGAGGCAGATCTGGGTCTCACTGCACTATCTGAAATGGTTGTCAGGTTTCTCCTTACTGGTTTGAGGTACAGCTCTTGGAAGCTAAGGTTATCTCTTGGGTTAAGGTTTGAAAGAATTTCAACTTTCCCCCCCCCCTCCATTTGCCCCCCTACACACACACACACACACACCATTGAATAATAAAGAGTAAACAAAAGTGGCCAAATATAATTGATAAGAAAGGAAGGAAAGAAAGGAGAGGAGAGGAGAGGAGAGGAGAGGAGAGGAGAGGAGAGGAGAGGAGAGGAGAGGAGAGGAGAGGAGAGGAGAGGAGAGG